TAATGACAATCAAATGACTATATGATGTCATTATGATGTCATTTCGATGTCATTTTGATGTCATCTTGATGTCATTGTGATTTTTTTGTTCTGCTTGGGATGTCTTGTATCAATATGTTTTGTACGAATATGCAATATGTGTTGAGAACATTTTTTTGTTCAATGTTTGTTATATATTTTATCGTCTCTATCTAATTATTGATGTTCCTATTCTAATTATAATTCCAAAAAACAGAGATCCTAGAAAAATAATAAAATACCCAGGTAGCAAAAGGAGCCATTTTGACATTATTTTGATGTCAAATTAGGTCAAAATGACGTCAAAAAGGCTACTTTTGCTACTTGGATAGTAAAACTTTAAAAAATATATTATCTGTTTGCATTAATATTTGTGCATTATATAATCTTGCAAAAGATTAAGACGATAACTGCATAATAATTTTATAATTTTATAATCTTTTTATATTTCGTCAAATTATGCTATATATATATTGCGTTATATGTGTTAAATTTTATATTTTTTTATTATTTTTATCAGATTTGATCTTTACATATTTTTTAGATTCAGTCTATTTAATCATCCTGAAGTGACATGCGAGTTTCTTGAAATCAATAAGGGCGATCCCATGAGAGAACAATTATGCCGGGAGATAGCTAAACCTGGTTATGAGATCGTTGCCGCGATGACATCGCCCAGATTTATTAAAACGCATTTTCCATTCAGCATGTTGCCTTCTGGACTTTTAGACGTTGGTTGTAAAGTACGTAATGGCAAAAAACTGAGAAACTTAGCAAAAATTGTTACCTCGTGGCATTTCTTTTAAAGGTCGTTTACGTGGCTCGCAATCCTAAAGACGTGGGTGTGTCGTGGTATAATCTGAACCGATCGATTAAAACGCAAGGATACATTGGCGACTTTCCCACTTTCTGGAATTATTTCCAAAATGATCTTAGTGAGTACAATAAAATATAGAAAATTATGGATGTGATCTCTATATTACGCCATAGATATTCTTATTATTTAATATTATACGAGATATTAGGCAAATGAGTGATAAGTTAAGAGAATTGCGAATGTATAAATATAATTTCTCTATTTTCACGCGATATATGTATTTTACTATATCTGATAATAAAAATTTGCCTCTTATGTATTTGTAGTTTATTAGTTGAATAATTTTCTGTCAATGAATATGGAATGTAATTCTTAATTCGTTTTTCCAGCACCGTGGAGTCCTTACTGGAGTCATTTAAAAGAAGCCTGGAACCTGAAAGATCATGAAAATCTTTTGTTTTTATTTTATGAAGAAATGACACGTGTAAGGATATCTTATATTCATTTTGAAACACGCATTTTACATATATTTTAAACATTTATATCCAATATACATTATTAACTACTACTTAAACTCTTTAAACCTAATATATGTATATACTAATATATTATTATACATATATAACTTTCAATTCCTGCCACTGCTTACAGAGATATATCCTAAAAATAACCATGTATATTTGTAATATGCGAGCTAATTCAAATTAATTCGTATTATTAAATGGTAATATAACATTGCATATTTAAGTTATTATTAAAATATTCGTACTACACTTGTTATTAACACATAGTAAGATTTTCTTCAAAGAGATAAGACACATTCTGTATTTTATTAGTTAATGTAATTATGTAATTAATTCTCTCAATCATTATTATTATCATTGTAGAGAGGGAGAGAGAGAGGGAGGGGGGAGGGAGGAGGGAGGGAGAGAGAGAGAGAGAGAATAATAATTAACGATTTACCTCACGTCTGTTCCTGCTACAGCCAGATAAGTTCCGCTTTGATCGAAGCAAATGTCCTTCACCTCGTAAGATTCCTCTAACTGCAGCGTCTTAAAGTTCTTTAGCTTGCGCAAATCCCAGAGTTTAACGCACGAATCCTCCGCGGCGGTCGCCAAGTAATATCCATTCTCGGAGAAACTAATCGCTGTGATTGGGCCGGTGTGACCCGGGAAATTTGCAACGTTAGATTGCTCTTTCAAGTCCCAGATTTTCACCTGAGAATCTGCTGTGCCAGTACCGAAAATTAGACCGTCAGGATGAAATTGCGCCGTAGTTAACGGTTGTCCTGTTTGTCCTGCCACCTTTAAACAATTTAAACATATCCTTTTCATACCGAGAGATGCCTATTTCTAGAAACGAGATTTTTGATGCGTTATCTTTCTTTCCCTTTTTTTTTCTTGTTTAAGACTTGGAGCAACTTTGCGACTTAATATAATTGTATATACAAAAATTGCTCAAAACGTACTTTAGTCAATAATCTGCCGGTGCGTATGTCCGAGAAGGCCCAATGCTGATCTAGAGACGAGCTTAATAGATAATCACCGGTGAGCCTTCAGTAATAAGGTCGTCTGACTAGTACCAACGTTCCATACACGAATCGTAGTATCAGGTGACGCGGTCATTACTACGTCTTCCTCTGGATGATAAATAACTCGTGTAACCTGTAAGTATAATGAAAAGAAATTAAGATGCGCTTGAAAAAGCAATGAAATTAGATTTACTTACTTTCTTCGTGTGACCTTTGAGAATTGCCACCACTTGTTCAGTGTCCTTGTTGAAAACAGTAGCATTCTTGTCAGCGCCACCCGTCAGAATCTTGCTAGTGTCCGCGCCATGAATATCAAGCGCCAAGATTCCAGGTACACTGGCAGAATGCAGTCCCTAGAACAATTACATGTTTAATTAATAATAATAAAAATAATAATAATATTCGTCAAACACAATATTTAACACTGCCAAGTGAGAATTATAAATATATAATCGCCATATAAATGAAACAATTAGAACATGAAAAATATATATAATGCTTAAATATAGGGATTGTCAAGAGATTACTAATAAGGTATTCAAAAAGATAAATTAGCCTAAAAGTCGTACATGACACACACACATACAAAAGTACGAATGAAAATTTATGTCAACCATTTATATGGCAGTCGGATTAATAGTGGAATAATTAATTTTTAAAGACACATCAAAAGTTAAAAAAAGTTCTCACAGGATGAGACGCGAGGGTCTGGAATGATCGAATACTATCCTGAGGCATCAGATCCTCTGGCACTGAGCGTCCACGTCGTTTTCGCTCCTGAGTGAGAACGGTCGCTCGTTCCTGCAGTTTCTGAATCACATCCTCGGTGATACCAGCTTGTTCCATTGGTTGAGTTGCTGTGCCACCAGCTTCTACTGCCACAGCCTGAAGAAAAAAACAAATTTAAAATTAATTATAAATCAAAAATTAAAAATTAAAAATTAATCAAAAACTAAGAATGCTTACAATTATTAATATATGCTAGATATAAATTTTTACGTTTCCTGAAATTTACAATCTAACATTTATGATAAATTTGTAGTATGTGTGTGTGTATGTGTGTGCATACTTGTTTGTGTACATATATGTAAATATAATAAGTAATATAGACATTTGCTACTTAGGATTATCAATATTTATAATTTAAGAAATATTTTAATAAAGATATATAATTTGATGACAATAACGTACAGGTTGTGGTATTGTAGCAGCCTGAACAATTCCAGCCTGTGGCTTAAGAGTGGCCAGAGCTTCTCTAGCAGCAGTAACTTCTTTTGTCAATCTAGCAATGACACGACAAGCTGCATCATGCTGGTACAATGCATGGGACAATTCTTGTCTCGCAGTCTGAAGTTGTTGTCGCAATGTAAATGAATGTAACATAACAGCATCCCATTCATCTTGCAGGATTTTTAATATCGCTGGAATGGAAGTTGCGCTAGGTGGTTTAGGCTTTACAATTGGAGTTGAAGTTGCGCTAGGTGGTTTAGGCTTGACAATTGGAGTTGCTGCAACAAGTAATAGATTTTAATAATTACACATAAAAGATTATTACACATTAACATTTTATGTTAAATAAATAAAATGTTTAAAAATACTTTTAATATCAATGAGCTGTTCAATAGTAAGTTCTTTGCCATTGATAGGATCCACTCCATTCTCAGTCACATATTTCTCAACAAGACGTTTCTCAAATATCGTTCCAGAAACAGGGGATACTACTGGGTGCTCTGGCACTTCGTTAGAAACTGCAAATTACAAAAATAACTTATAATAATCTTTATAAAATATTACTTATTGGAAATTTTGATTTGTTTATTATGAATCTTTTGTGAATATCAAAATAATATACAAAAAACAAAATAAAAATATATTATAAATCTGCATTATATATATAATATATATGTGTGTGCGTGTGTGTGTGTGTAAACATATATTAATGCTAATAAAATATCTATAATATAATGAATTCGATTATGCCTTGTAAAATTCTCTTCTTATGTATCAAAACCATTTATTCTATATATTATATTATTATATTCTTATTATGTTTTTTTCATTTTTATTAGTATATGCGGTAAAGTATTTTTAGGTTATGTTTGTCAATTCTGTCAGTACATAAAATTACGAGATTTTTTAACGATAAATTTAATTTTATTATTAAGCAATATCATGCTAAATTAAACATTATAAAAAAAGAATAAAAGATAAGTTAGCTTGATTATAAATTATTCTGCGTGCTAACAAACTTACTAGCACAAGACAGCGCCATTTTTTTTCGGTAATATGGCTCCTGTACCCTGTACCCATAGACATAGTATATCTAGACCAGTGCATGCCACGATCTGCACATTTCGGCCGATTTCCGAGAGTCAACGCCTATCGCGCCCCCCTTACGTCTTGAGATCCTCGTCTAGCAACCGTAACCAAGTGCGCGACGCTCTGCCTCAGGTACGGCGCATCTGTACCGCGATGCGGTTCCGTACCCCCTTACTGCCAAATATCAATGTTTTAAACGCGATCTCTTTAGAATTTTTTCAAATAATTAATTCAAGAACAAAGTTTCAATACTCTATTATTAATTACATTTACGATATAATAATCCTAAAATATTATTAAATTATATTCGATAGATTAAATTTGTTAAATGTCTCGCGCGCGGAAACTCTTCCCGATATATAAATTAATAAATAATTGTAAATTTAAAGTTTTATAAAAGACGCTTTTATTAAAAGCACGAAATACTTATGAACGATTTTATTTAAGTTATGGACTGTTGGATATCCCCAGTATATGATGTCATTACATAAATTAGAATAACGTAATTATAATTATTATATTTTTAGTAA